CACTTCCTTTAAATCCCAAAAGCAATCCACACCAGGAACAGAGCATGATTCCAGCATCACATCCCATTTTCTCAGGGACCTTTCCAAACATCATTGGAAATGTAGAAACAATTTGATGAGGATTCTTTTTGAAACAAAGGGTTTTGCCCATAAAACATGGGAATAACAACCCTGGTACTGGATTGTTCTTGGGAATCTTCTGGATCCCACAGCACAGAGATCATAAATGAGATATTGGGAAGGAATTCCTGGCTGGGAGGGGCTGGGCTGGAATTCCCAGAGCAGCTGTGGCTGCCCCTGGCAGTGCCCAAGGCCAGGCTGGAGCAGCCTGGGACAGTGGGAGGTGTCCCTGCCCATGGAATGGGATTTAAGATCCTTCCAACCCAAACCATTCCAGGATTCTGTGGTGTTTGGAGCTCAGTTAGCAGCTCTGACCCTGCTCTGGTGGATAAATCCATGAGCTGGGAATGTTTAAGCCAAGAGCTGCCCTGACTGGCAGGACTCATTCCCAAAGCGGGATTGGAAGCTCCTCTCCACATTGGCAGCAAATCCCAAAGCCACGGTGAAGGGTCAAGGCCTGGGGCAGGTGATCAAACAGTTAATCTGTCCCAGCAGTGGGATTTGGAATTATCCATGGGGGATTAATCCTTAATAAAATGTAATTCCGAAAGATTCTATTACCAATTCAGTATTTTCCACAGAATCGCTGGAGCTGGAGGCACCTCTGGAGCTCGTCCCATCCAAAGCACGGCTTCATTAAAGCAGTGCATTTCCCTTCCAAATTAATAATCTGGATTAATTCTTCATTAATCCAGATACAGCTGGATTTGGGAATCTCCGAGGACAGGGACTTCCCAACCTTCCTGAGCCACCTGTGCCAGTGTTTGACCCTCACTAGTTGAAAAGAATGGAATTTTCTCTATTTCAGTTTATTCCCATTTCCTGTCCCTGAGCATCCCTGAGCTTCTCCACACTTCCTCCAGGAATTTATCCAATGGATAAAACCCTCCTGAGCCTTTCCAAGGCCACACTAGATGGGGTTTGGAGCACCCTGGGATAGTGGGAGGGGGTGGAATGGGATGAGTTTAAGGTCCCTTCCCACCCAAACCAGTCTGGAATTCTGGGATTCTATTAGAGAATAGAATTTGGAACATTTGCTAAAATTATGGGAACTGTATTTTTTTTTAAAAAAAAAAAAAAGTAAAGAATTAACATGATATCGAGCAATTTGGAATTTTGGGAACTTGTGCCCACATTTCCAGGAATAAATCCAGTGGAATTGTGGTCATGGATCACCACTGTCACCTGGGGCCAGATCCTTCCTTACCTTGCCAATTCAAGGATTTCCACAGGGAAAGGGGGATCCCAGTAAAAACCCCCAAAATCTAAGGACAGACACTTGCTGAAGAGGAAATCCAGGGAAAAGAACCCCAAATCCCACTGTTTTTGGACAAACCTCAGTGCCTGTTTTCTTTTCACTACCCCAAATAACTTTACACCGCAACAATTTATCAGGAATTCCAAAAACGCTCTTTAACCCTTTATGTTTCTAATTTGTTCTTCTTAACACACCACAAATAAACGACCAGAATACGACCAGATATTTCAATTTCTCCATTTTTCTCTCAGCGTGGAGTGGCTGAATCCCTTCCTCACAATAAAAAAACCCAGCACAGAGCCAGGAGAATTCCAACCTGGAGCTGCATCCACCTTCCTGCAGCACAGAGACAACGGGAAAAAAAAACCCCGAGCGCGCTTGTCTGCTTCGCTTAAAATCTGAGCTCCGCCTGGGGCAGGGGGAGCTTGGACAAAGCAAGCACCAGAACTCTCTGGGGGGATGAGTTTGCCCTTGAAATAGAGGTAAAAATACATCAAACCACGTCACTTTGACACTGGAAGACCTCTTGGCACGCTGGGAGCACCAAGAAACCCGCAAAGGGCTCCCAAAAATTGGATTTTTGTTGTTCAGGCTTTTATACTTTCCCACTTTTTTTTTTTTCTTTTTGTACCAGAAAGAGGAATTTGATGTGGGTGTTGAAAGAGGCAGGATTAAAAATAGACTGGCAGGTATTCTTTGAAAATCCAGGTTCCTGCAGTCTGTGAGCAAATTCTCGATGACTTTTCCACAAGAAATGCATGAGGAATGAAGCTGCTCCATGCCTGATCCTGAATTTAGTCAGGAATGCCTGAAACACTCACAGATACTCCTTGAAAATCTATATTCCTGCAGCTTTTGAGTAAATTTTCCATAACTTTTCCACAGAAAACACCTGAGGAATGCTGGTGTTCCCTGTCTGATCCTCAGGAATGCCTAAAACATCCTGTTAGAATCAGGAGAAATCCTTGTTAAAATAAACTTTTCCCTTTCCAGGCTCTTAAATTCCCACTCAAATCAATGGGATTCCCTGCCCAAAATCTCACTCATGCAGGAAACACTTCCCAGCTCTAAGAGGAAAATTCCTCCTTCCCACAAATTCCTGGGAAGCAGAATGCTGCCACATTCCAGGCACCTCCCTGGGTTACAACAAGCCCTCGGAGGGGCTGACGCTCTTCCCACGCTTTTCCTTCAAACAAGAGGGAGTTTTTCCAGCTATTTTTCCCAAAGGAATTGGCTTTCTCTCACCTATGTGCTGTCCATACATGTGATAGTAGAAGCTGAAGCAATAGGCCGTGTTGGTGGCTCCGTAGGGATTTTTGGGAGCGACGCTGAAAACGGGACTGACGAGTCTGGCCTTCTCCCCCTCCAGCCTGGGACGGGACGTCTCGATGTACATGTAAAAACCTGGAAAAATCCAAAGGGAAATCATTGGGGTGAGGCCTTCAGCACCCGTGTACACGTGAAAACCTGGAAAAATCCAAAGGGAAATCATTGGGATGAGGCCTTCAGCAGCTGTGTATGTGTGAAAACCTGGAAAAATCCTAAAGGAAATCATTGTGATGAGGCCCTCAACACCTGGGATGTCTCAATGTACGTGGAAAAACCTGGAAAAATCCAAAAGGAAATCATTGGGATGAGGTTCTTAACACTTGGGATGTCTCGATGTACACGGAAAAGCTGGAAATATCCAAAGGGACACCCTTAGGATAAGGCCAACATCCAACACAGATGGAAATCCTTATGATGAGGCCCTCGACACATGGGACATCTTGATGTACAGGTAGAAACCTGGAAAAATACAAAGGGAAACCACTGGGATAATGCCTTCAGCAGCTGTTTACGTGTGAAAACCTGGAAAAATCCAAAGGGAAATCATTGGGATGAGGCCTTCAGCACCCAACAGATGGAAATCCCTGGGATGAGGCTCTCAGCACCTGGGATGTCTCAATCTACACTGAAAAACCTGGAAAAAATCCAAAGAGAAATCCTTAGGATGAGGCCCTCAACACCCAACACAGATGGAAATTCCTTGGATGAGGCCCTCAACAATTGATATCTTGATGTACCCATAAAACCCTGGAGAAATCCAAAGGGAAATCCTTGGGATGAAGCTCTCAGCACCCAACACAGATAAATGCAGGACCGCAATTTGGAATTATCAAGGATCCCCATAAAGTTTTTACTTCCATCTCCCACCATGTGATTTCTGGAACTCATTTTTTCCTACATGAAACCCCTGTGTTTCCAAAGGCTGCTCCAAAGCCATGTTTTCCATGGAAACTAAAATCCAGGAAGCAGGCCGGTGCTGGAAAACACCACCAAGCTGATGAACTTTTGCACAAAATCTGAGGGGGTTCAGCCTTCAGTCCTGAGGGGGGAAATACGTCCCAGGAAAGACGACTTGTAAAATAAAGGGAAAATATCATGATGGAAACCTTCCAAGGAATATTTCCAACTTGCCGTGTCAATCCCAAAGAAGACAATATCCATTTATTCCATTCCTGGAAGTGCCAGCCACAGAGGTATTATTGAATTAACCCAACCAGATAAAGGCGGTGCAGGACAGATTTTTTCCCCTTTGGAAGTGCACACGATAAAATAGCCGGAGCTATTGCGGGGTCGGGATAAATTCAGCTGGAAGCGACGGACTTTTCAAATGCAAATCCACGCTGCAGTCAGGAGCAGACGTTAACGGGGGCAGCAGATTGAAAACTGCACGTTTGAGCAATAGCCAGAGCAAAAATGGGGCAAAAACCAGCTCGTCGTGACAGGCCGAGAGAGCCCAAGGGAGAACTTAAATGACATCAGGTAGGAGAATGTTTTAAGACGAGGCACATTTCCCTGCTTGAGTTGAACGTGAAGGGAATCGCTCGGAAAATGGCGCAATAAAAACGAGGCGAGGTGGGAATGGCACCATCAGGGGTTGTGCTTTGGGAGCTGCCACTCCTCAGCACCAGGAATTCCTTCTAGAAGTCCCTGAAGGGTCTTGGCCTGAACTTAGAGCCCCTTCCAGGGCCTGAAGGGACTCCAGGAGAGCTGGAGAGGGATTTAGGAGAAGGGGTGGAGGGACAGGACAAGGAGAAATGGCTTTAAGTTGAAGGAGGGTACACTTAGATGGGATATTGGGAAAGAATTCCTGGTACTGAGTGGGATTTGAGGTCCCTTCCAATCCAAACTAGTCTGGGATTCTGGAATCTTCTCCATTTAAACTCCGGGACGAGGAGGAGAAGGAGCCTGAGATGTCCCAGCCCTGTGTGACAAAGGGCCAGGGGCAGCAGTGGGGCCTTCTGAGGGACACAGACTTGAGCCATTGCTTCCCAGATCTCCCCACAGATGAACTCCAGCTTTCTGGGAATGGCTCCCACTGCCAGAGGGAAAGAATAGATGGGAGATTGGGAATTGGGAATTGCTGGCTGGGCTGGAATTGCCAGAGCAGCTGTGGCTGCCCCTGGATCCCTGGCAGTGCCCAAGGCCAGGCTGGACATTGGGGCTGGAGCAGCCTGGGACAGTGGGAGCTGTCCCTGCCCATGGAACGGGTGGAATTAAGATGAACTTAAATCCTTTCCTATCGGCGTTCCATGACCAAGAAATGTCTGAACTCCCTGGCCTGGACAGTTCCCTTATCCCACATTCCTGCCTGCTGGATCTTACCCTCCTTGGAGCCGGTGCGATCGGCGTTGGGCCCCGTGTTGGGGGTGTACTTCGTGTCCCTCGTGGCAGTGCTTTGTTTTGTCCAGTCAAAGTTGTCGGTGTCGTCTTGAGTGAAAAGGCAAATGTTCCCATCCTCAAAGCCACAGTGGAACTCTCCTGCCAAAACAAATAACAGGAAATCAGTGGCCGAGGTTCTCCATCCAATCCTTATTTTTCACATCAATTGTCCAGTTTTCTTTAGCAGCATCTCAACAAAAAAATAAATCAGGGTCATCAGTTTGTGCTGGTGAAACTGAAATGATATTTAAATCTTTTTGTAGAGCTCCTCCTCACACATTCAGATTCATACAGGGGTTTTTACAGGTGCTGTCTCTTTTTACATTTCTAAAAAGCTGGGTAGAACAGAAGCATTCCCATAAAACATGAAAAATGGGGGGAAAAAATGTGAGAAGTGGGTTAATGTGGTTTAGGAATAAAAGAGAGCAGCGTTTCAAATTGTAAACATTATCCCCAAGTGGCATCTCCTAAATTATCCTTCATTTCAGTAGGGACGGGAAAGAGGAAGTAGATAAAATAAGACAAAAGAGCTTTGGGATAGACATGAAGGAAATCTCTGAAAATCAGGACATGGCAGCGCATGGAGGGATATCAGGAAGAGAATGATCACAACAAATTCCTGGGAGGAATATCTGAATCCGTGTGGGAAGGAGAGGCGACTGTGTCACGTCCTGGACACACCTCCTGGATTTTCACTGAGATTTCTGTGATGTAGAAAGTGACAAACATGCAGCTCTAAAGAATAAAAATTGCCAAAGAGGATTCCTGGGATTGTCTCCTGCATAGAGCTGTGGGAGCCCAGTGATCCCAGTGATCCGCCCCGCCGGGTTACCATGGGATGAGAAATTCCTCCTGTAATTTAAGAACCAAAACAAAGCCCAGCTTGGAAGCTCAGGTCTCACTCAGAGCAAAACGAGGCCCCGTGGAGTAAGACGTGCACAAGCTGAATTTCACTGCATGAACAATTCCTGCTGAGTTTACTCTTCCTGCAAAGTCCATTGATTTATCTGAGAAAAGAAGGAAATCTCCCTTCTCCAGGGAGGAGGCAGCTGCCTGCACACGGTGTCAGCTTGGAGGGGTGCAATTTATATTCATTGGTAGGAGAAACTCAAACTCTGGCTGTCAGGGGATTGTTCATCCCTGTTAAACTGAGAAGGTGGATAAATGTTTGCAGGTTTGGGGTTTTGGGGAGCTCTAAATCCACTTAAGCCACTGGAGCTTCCCCGTTAATCAGTGAGGAGAGAGGGACCTGGAGCTTAGTGCTGCAACACTCAGGTAATGCTGCAGGCTCAGAAATAAGCTTGGAAAATTCCCTTCAAACCGCAGGATGCACTCAGAGCGATTTCCAAATATTCCTGGTTCTCCTCCCGCCTTTCCAAAGAACAGCACGAGGCCAAAGGGGTCCAGGGTGGATCAGGGAGGAGGCCAGCGGGGATCCCTGCTCAGCCCTGGGCACATCTGGAATGCTGTGTCCAGCTGTGGGCTCCACAGAGACCTGGAGCTCCTGGATCTGCTCCAGAGGAGGGATGTGAGGATGAGGAAGGGCTGGAGCATCTCCGTGACCAGGAAAGGCTGAGGGAGCTGGGGCTGCTCAGCTGGAGAGGAGCCCCAGTGGAGTGGGGGCTCAGCCCTGTCCATCCCTGTCCATCCCTGGCTGTCCCTGTCCATCCCTGTCCATCCCTGGGCTCAGGGAGGGGCAGAACAGCCCCAGGCTCTGCCCCAGGCCCAGGTTCTGCCCCAGGCCCTGGTTCTGCCCCAGGCCCAGGTTCTGCTCCAGGCCCAGGTTCTGCCCCAGGCCCTGGTTCTGCCCCAGGCCCTGGTTCTGCTCCAGGCCCAGGCTCTGCTCCAGGCCCAGCAGTGGCACCAGAGCCACGGGCAGGGGCCCATCCCAGGAATTCCTGTTTGATTTGGTTTGCCAGTAAATCCAGCAGATCCTCCAGGAGCATCCATTCCCTAAAGCACAGCTCCTTCACCGGCTGACAGGACCAAGATCCTGGTTATCCCTGGTGACCTCCGTGATGGGAGCTGGTTTGGGACCAGTGAGGGAATTGCTGCCTGGGCTGGAATTGCCAGAGCAGCTGTGGCTGCCCCTGGATCCCTGGCAGTGCCCAAGGCCAGGCTGGACATTGGGGCTGGACATTGGGACAGTGGGAGCTGTCCCTGCCAGGGCAGGGCTGGGATGGGATTCAGGTCCCACCAACCCAAAGCAGTCCCTGATGCTTTGATGGTTCCATGGTTCCACCCAAACCCTGCAGGAGAGAAGTCAACAGATCGACATCTCCATCTTCATCCCAAGACTGGGAAGGGAATTCCAAGACCCGGCCAAAACTCTCGGAATACTGCAGGACTCACACGAAGCTCTCTAAACAAAGTGCCAGCTGTGCCTCTCATCTCCAAGAATTCTTTTTACACCACCTGAGCTCCAAATTCTCTTGGTTTACCCCACATTTTGTGGATTTTTCTTCCACCTCCATTTTTGCATCTTCCTGAAGCACAGAAGTTGCTGCTTCTACACAAAGGGATGAAATGAAAAGGCAGAATTTAAGTGAAGGAGAAAAGTTTTGATTCCCAGATCCAGTCCTGGAGCAAAGGGAACAACAGAAAGAATTTTCAGCCATTCAGCACTTTCTGCACTGCCCCTCCCGTGCCTTAAAAGCTGCATTGACTTCTTGTGCCCTCAGAGCTTCATTAAGAAATTCCGCATCAGCAGAACAAAAATTTTTTTCCTCAGGTGAAGAAAAAAAAATTAAAATAAATATTCAGGACAGAGGGGGAAGAAGAAAAAAAAAAGAGTCAAAGTTTGCCTTTTATTTAATAGTCAAACATTGATTTCATGCGAAATACCTTGGAAAAGGTTAGTGCTAAATGTTCTTGGCACTGAACACTCTTTAAAAAAATGAGGGAAGAAGAAAAATGGGAATAAAGCTCTCCAGGCTTTGCTCCATACTTTTGTAGGAACATTTAAATAGATCCGTGTGGTCTGGATCTGTTAATTAATGAGCAGGAGGGCAGGAGGAACAAGCAGCTCTTCCACAGGTGCTCCAGCCACGGCCCTAACAACAGTGCTAATTAACATTAATGAGAGTGGTGGTTTTTGTCAGGGCACATGGCAGCTCTGGAAGTGGATTCAGGTCGTTAATAATTTCCTTGCCAATTAAGGCAAAAGCTGAAGCTGTGCTGGAGGTGAGACCCTTCATTGTAGTGTGGATTTGTGTCGTCTATTCCCATAAAATCCAAGTTGGATGTGAATCCTGCACATCTTCTCTCTCCTGTTATTCAGGGCTGACCTCTAATTGTAGAAATTGATCTAAAATCCTTCTGGTTTGCATTAAATGGTTTCTGTTAGGTGGGAGAAATTGGAGATGTGAGGCTCCACCTCAGAGTTAAAGTCTTTTGATGCTTCTTGCTTGGGTATCGCAGAGATTGCATCAAAAAGAAGGATTTAGGGAATGGGATTATTCCAGAAGTGAATCAGGAAGGGCATGACTTCAGTTTCCAGTCAGGAATCTTGTCCTCTTCATTCCCACAGGGTAAATAAAACCAGAAATTGGCACAACAGCTTTAGGAACAAGAGGGATTTTGTAGGAAGCACAGAAAAGGGAGCTGGGAAGGGGCTGGAGAATTGCTGAGGGAGCTGGGAAGGGTCTGGAGAATTGCTGAGGGAGCTGGGAAGGGGCTGGAGAATTGCTGAGGGAGCTGGGAAGGGGCTGGAGAATTGCTGAGGGAGCTGGGAAGGGGCTGAGCCTGGAGCAAAGGAGGCTCAGGGGGCCCTTGTGGCTCTGCACAAGTCCCTGGCAGGAGGGGACAGCCCGGGGGGGTCGGGCTCTGCTGCCAGGGAACAGGGACAGGAGGAGAGGGAACGGCCTCAGGCTGGGCCAGGGGAGGCTCAGGGTGGACAGCAGCAGGAATTTCCCCATGTAAAGGGCGCTCAGGCCTTGGAAGTGCCCAGGGAGGTTTGCAGTGCCCATCCCTGAGGGATTTAATTCCATGTGGAGGTGGCACCTGGGGCCATGGGGCAGTGGTGGCCTTGGGGAATGGAGATGGGATGCAGGCCAGGACCTCTTTCCTACCAAGGAATTCCACTCAAAAAATCTTCAGGGAAAGCCAGCAAAGCAGAATTCTACCGTGGCTTTGGCCACCTGAAAGGAGTGACCCTGGGGACCCTGCAGCTTTCTTCTTCCCCATCCCTCCCTTGAGCCGACACATTCCTTATTCCCATTCGGATGCCACCCACATTCCATCATGATCCTACAAGACTTTTGGAAAATTAGTTTGAGATCTTAAAGTCCTAGAGGAGCGTGAGGCACTCGGGATTGTATTTTTTCTTCCCATCAGAGCCTAGATTTAATGTATTAATTAGCAAGGGCTTCATTCCCTGCTCGTTAGGCTCCATGGGAGAGGTTCCTGCAGCTCCTGGGAGCTTTGAGCTAAGCCCTGCTTAATTATTCACGTGTTGGACAAAATCTTCTGCAAATAAGTTTAGAATTTACACAAAGGCTTAAAGTTGAGTCTGAGGGATGGAGCAGAGCTTGCTCCTGCCTGCAGGGAAAAGTGGGAGACCAGGCCTCATTCCTTAGGCGGGAAATAATTTTGGGATGTGCTATTAAAAACAAGAATATGTTGTAACAGAAAATATGGATTTGTTGGGGTTTGGGAGGACATGATGGAGTAGGGAGAGGCGGGACTGTGGGAACAGGGTGGTTTTACTGGGATGTGCCAAAGCTCCATCCCCATCTCCTGCCTGGATGTTTGCAGGGATTTTCCATGACAATGTGGAAGAACAAAGTGTGACTGAAGCCATTTCCAGCCTGGGACATCCCCGATCATGGCAGTTTGTGTTTCCAGCCGTGCCTGGGGAGCTGTGTCCTGAGGATTTGGGGAGAGCCAGGATTGACTTGGGGTCTCCTCATTTCTCTGCAATGAATCCGCGATTCCTGAACCTCTGTGGGGAAGAACTTCCTTCTTTTTGGTTGCAATCTGCCCTAAAAAGCATGGAGATAACTCAGGAACCACAAGGAAGGCTCTGGGGAGACCTTAGAGAACCTTCCAGGGCCTGAAGGGGCTCCAGGAGAGCTGGAGAGGGACTGGGAACAAGGGATGGAGGGACAGGACACAGGGAATGGCTTGAAGATGAAGGAGGGTACATTTAAATGGGATATTGGGAAGGAATTTCTGGCTGGAAGGGTGGGGAAGGATGGGCTGGAATTCCCAGAGAAGCTGTGGCTGCCCCTGGATCCCTGGAAGTGTCCAGGGCCAGGCTGGACAGGGCTTGGAGCAGCCTGGGATGGTGGAAGGTGTTCCTGCCCTTCCATGATCTCCCACAGCATCCCCAACACCTCCTGAGCTGCTCCAGCACAGCTGGACCTGAATTTTAGCCCAGGAATATTTTCCTTTGGATTAACTCTCGGGGAAGTGAGGAAGATGAGCTGGAGCTGTGTTTTTCCTTCCTTTTTCCTCGTTGGAACAAGAGGAATCACAAATGACACCTCCAGGTACTTCCTGCCACTTGTGACCTGCAGCTGGAAGTAAAATACTTCAAATTTGCGTTTGAAATGTGAGCGACAACCAATGCAAAGACAAAATAATAAATACTCTGAATACTTACGGAGGTGTGGATTCACCGGAGCTGTAAAACAGAGGGAAAATAAAATTAATGCGATTAATTCATCAATTTGCAGATTATCCTAAATTTCCCCTTATATTATATTATATTGAAATTAATCTACTTCACACCTTTAAAGGATGGAAGAGGGTGAAATCCAAACCTTCACAATATCCTAATGGCTTGGGTAATGGATAAGCATGGGAATGGCTTCCCAGGTTAATCCAGAGGAATCTGTGCAGTGCTAAAACCTGCGAATGGGATCGAAGGAGGGATTCTCCTGTGGCTCTCTTTGCAGAAGGATAAATTTGAGGATGGGTGATTTAGGAAAAGGCCCTCCTGCCACAGCCCCACACATGTGGGAAGCAGAAGGAGGATGAGCTCAGGGCTGGAATTGAATTTTATTCACAGAAAAATCCAAAATTAATTTTTATCTCCAGTTAATGGGGACATCTGGCAATGCCAGAGCACCACTCCAGGTTTTCCTGCTGCCTTTCCTTGCTTTAATCCCAGCCTAAGATCCAGCCAAATCTGGAGTTTCCAAGCCAGCTCTAAATTAGCACCACTTTACCTGAAACACGAGCAGTGATTTGCTCCAGTGTCATCTCCCTGAGAAACCCAATTTTTACATCTTTCACCTACAAATTACCTCTGATTCTTCAAAAAAACCTCAATTTTACGGGATCCCTGAGTGATTGAGCCTGGAATAAGCCGCAATTTCTGGCAGCTGCATTGACTGAGGCTTGATTTGTAACTAAATGCAGGGGTTTGGATGGAAAATCTCATCAGGTGTCACCTCCAGTCACACCATTGGGATTATTCCCAGCAGAGCAAAACCAGCTCTGTGTGCCACACCGAGGCACGAAAGCAGACAGGAAAATGAAGGTGGTTAAGATGAATTTATCCAGCTATAAACTTGGGGGGAAAAAATCCCGAAAAAAAAACAGGGAAAAACCCCCAAAATTCCCACTTATTGAGCAGCACAGCTGCAGGACAACGTGTGACGGCTGAGGAGAGGTTGCTGTGTGCACATGAGGATGAATTAACCAGGAAAGGGAATTTCATGGATATTTGAGGCCCTAAATTCCCAAAGCTGGCTGAAATGCTTGGAAAATCCATGCCCTTCTCAGGGTGGGGCAGGCCCTGCAGGGAGGGAATCCCAGGGTGCTCCAAGCCCTTCCAAGCTGGCCTTGGACAATTCCAGGAATACAGGGGCAGCCACAAATTCCCTGAACCTGTGCCAGGATTTTCCCCTCACCCTAAAATATTTCTTCCTTAGACCAAAACTGAATCTGTTTAATTTAAAACCATCACCCCTCGTCCTGTTGGTCCAGCTCCTAATCCAAAATCTCTCCCTAAATGTGATGCTTCCAGAATTCCTTGTTTGCCACCATCTCCCTGTGATGAAACTCCCGCTAAAATGAATAAAAATTCCCCCTAAACACATCCCATTCCATCCCAAACTGCTCCAGGATTCTCCATCCTCCTCTTTAAGGTCCCTCTTGTCCTTCCATTGCAATTTTTATAGAAAAGAGAAAGAGAAAGAGAAAGAGAAAGAGAAAGAGAAAGAGAAAGAGAAAGAGAAAGAGAAAGAGAAAGAGAAAGAGAA